CTGGTTTGTCCACCTTCGGGAAACATGGCTAGGAAACAATCTTTCCTGGTTTGTCCACCTTCGGGAAACATGGCTAGGAAACAATGTTTCCTGGTTTGCCCACCTTCGGGAAACATGGCTAGGAAACAATGTTTCCTGGTTTGTCCACCTTCAGGAAACATGGCTAGGAAACAATGTTTCCTGGTTTGTCCACTTTCAGGAAACATGGCTAGGAAACAATCTTTCCTGGTTTGTCCACCTTCAGGAAACATGGCTAGGAAACAATGTTTCCTGGTTTGTCCACCTTCAGGAAACATGGCTAGGAAACAATGTTCCCTGGTTTGTCCACCTTCAGGAAACATGGCTAGGAAACAATGTTTTCTGGTTTGTCCACCTTCAGGAAACATGGCTAGGAATCAATGTTTCCTGGTTTGTTCACCTTTAGGAAACATGGCTAGGAAACAATGTTTTCTGGTTTGTCCACCTTCAGGAAACATGGCTAGGAAACAATGTTCCCTGGTCTGTCCACCTTCAGGAAACATGGCTAGGAAACAATGTTTCCTGGTTTGTCCACCTTCAGGAAACATGGCTAGGAAATAATGTTTCCTGGTTTGTCCACTTCCGGGAAACATGATTAGGAAACAATGTTTACTGGTTTGTCCACCTTCAGGAAACATGGCTAGGAAACAATGTTTCCTGGTTTCAGTTGCCCATAGACAAGTGTTTCAGCTACTGTAGAATAATTCCTAGCTTGCACACGACTGTTTACCAACCAGGGTTATATAAAAGCTCTATTTTCTCACTATTAATGCGTTTCTTCCATGAACAGGAATCTACAATACATCACTCGCGAAGGACAGGAAGAACCTTGCGGTACACTTACAAATTTTCTGGAAAAACACAAGAAAAAGGTCACCCTCCTTCAGTACTTTCGAAACTACATGAGTGAGCATCTCTTGAAGGCAGGTGGGCCGAGAGGCACAGCTGTGGAAGCCAACGAGGTTTCGAGATTGCCTTATCTTAGAACGTGGTACCGAACACGACGCGCTATCGTGCTGCATTTAAGCAATGGTATATTACAGGTGAGTCATCCTTTACCAACAGACAATTTTATGAAATATAACATAAAATTTCATATTTCGACAATAACGCCATCTTCATCACTACCACCATCATCACCACGCTATCATTACCATCATCATCACCAACAACCCAATCACCACCATCATCATCATCACAATCATCATTACTATGGTCAGGTATGCCATCATAACCAACCCAGTAACCAACATGCTTCCACCATCATCACCATATAACCATCCGCACTGCTACCATCATTATATTCACCAATCATGCAACCTAACCACGCAACAATCTTCCTTATTTCTTCAGGTGAACTTTTTCCAAGACCACACAAAAGTGATTCTGTCTCCTTGCATGGCCGCTATCACTTACATCAACGAGAAACGAAATGCAAGAACATTCTCATTCAAAAGCATGGAGAAACATGGCTGTTGTCGTGAGCTCGCGAAAAGAATGAGCTATGCCCTTGACAGAGTTGAAGAACTACGCACTACGTTAAGAAACCATCATCCAACCCAACGGGACATTGTTAAATCCAGACCAGAGCAAATGCAAGCGATAGGCAACAAAGCGTAGACACTATCCATCGCACACCAAATCTATAGATTCCTACGGCTAGGTTTTCGTTTAAAAAGCCCGGTCTATGCCACTAGGAAAAGATAAGGCTGTAAAAATATTTTGTGGAACTGAGACAAAGGTCAAACTTTGTTTTTCTTTTTCAAGGCTAGAACTGTTTGGCCTCAAAGGTTTCAGACAAATAATTTTGCAGCCATGGAATTATATTTTCTGTAAATAGAATCTTTGCCTGGTCTAGTTCAAACGTTGAAAGTTTGCATTTATAAAGCGCTATGCTTCTTGAAAGTCTTTAAATTCTTCCTGCCAAATCCTGGTTTAGTTTTTGGTTATTTTCTGAAATTTGCTTGACATAAGAAATATTAAAAGAAATACAAACGTTCAACGTTTTGAACTGGCCAGGAACAATGCTCAAATTTACCGTTACTAAGTCGTCAAACTGGTCTACAGTATCTATGGACTATTTGAAAAGACACGTTGATTGCCTTTGGGATGATTGCCTTTGTGGGAATGTCGTTTTTCTGTAAATATATAAAATAAATCAACCATTTAATCGTAAAAGGGGTTCATCGATCAAAAGGTTCTCTTCAGCAAATATATAATCGTTTACACCTTTTTTAACCTTCAGTTTTTGAGTTACGCGTTATCTTGCCCTTGGGAATTGGGATACGGGGCTAAGTCTACGGCTATTGGGAGTGCTTCAGGGAAATACTTACCCGATAATTAAATTGTGAATATTTAGACGGACTCCGAAAGCACGGAAATTTAACTAAATTCGGCATTCTTGGCTTGTTTGATCCCTTTTAATAACTTGCTGCTAAATTTACCTGAAAGTTCGAAAGCCTAGAAATTTACCGGAAACTCTATCATTTCCATAAATTAATTTCCATACAGAACTTCCCATGACGTACCAATCTCGTTCCCCGAGCATGCCCGTTCGCAGGTTAAGGGTGGGCATAGCTCTGGAGAAATCGAATTGATTCAGGCCTGTGATTGGCTAACGGCAGATATAGTACGTTGGATTTCCAACGTGAGTTCTATATATAAACAAAGTATTTGGAATTTCTCGTCGAAAATTTGATACTTTTTACACTGAAATCGATCGAAAACTGGAGGAAATATGTGCGAAAGCTGCGGATTGATAGGGATACAAATACCTGAAAAATACAAGGAGAACTTCGACGTTTCGAGCGAAGGCGCTTCGACTTGTGCTGTTTAATAGTGTTTGTATACATCATACTTGACCTTTTATATACTGCCATACCTAACACTACGTATACCATAAATTCTGACAGAAGAGTTAAATGTAAATCTTAAAGCATAAAAATATATAATACTTATTATTGAGGAGATTATATTTATCAGCTAAGGTCAAGTACGATATATACAAACACTAACAGTACAGATCGAAGTGCCTTCGCTCTAACCTGAGTATCAGGCCGTACTTTTTAGGGCACAGGCACGCCTGATCGTGGGCGAAGGGGAGAAAAGTACGGCCTGACACAAAAGTGGCATTTTGCCTGGTTGTTCAGTCCAGAATCTGGACTGAGCGCTGATTGGCCGATTTGACAAACGATTTTTAAATCTGTCATTTGATTGGCTGGTGCTAATTAGATTATACTATTGTTGTTGATATATTTTATAACGATCACAACTACAACTAGAAGTTACTATCGCAAGGAAAGTGCTGCCTCATCCCCAAGGGATCAAAGGCAGCATGCGCAATTTGCTGAATAAGGGGCTGTTTATACGATCCCGCTTTGCCAGGACGAGATACGAGGTGGGACGATTTCGTTGTATTGAAATAAGTCATGGTCTACAACTGACAACATTTGAGTTCTGTTAACCAGCATTTGAACTTTCATTTAATTACCTAGTGATTGAAATACATCAAAATCATCCCACTTTCCATCATGTAAACAGCCCCTAAGATGCCTGTTCAGAATGTCAGAAAAGTGTATTTTGAATACCAAAACACCTCAGTTGCACAATGTTCACAGAACAACTGAACAATCTGCTCATGGGGAGACAAAATCTATTTGTTGACATTTTTGTTTAATTAATATGTCTGCTTCAGAGGACACTGTTCATGGCTAGCTTGCCACTGAATACTGTGCAATATCATATATGATGTTTGTGATGTTACTCCGAGTGTATATCCACACCGGGCAAGCTTGAAAAATATGCCTGACCACGGTGGGAATCAAACCTATGACCTTTGGCATACTAGCCCAATGCTCTGCCAACTGAGCTACGCGGTCAGGTCAGTTCGAGTATGTGATATTTCGGAACTGAGTCTAGTTTGCTCAATATCAATGCAATCTAATAGTCATGAATTTTCTGTGTTGGTGTAATGTACTCAGGTGAATGATGTTTGTGAAGTTACTCTGAGTGTATATCCACACCGGGCAAGCTTGAAAAATATGCCTGACCACGGTGGGAATCGAACCTATGACCTTTGGAATACTAGCCCAATGCTCTGCCAACTGAGCTACTGTATGCGGTCAGGTCAGTTCGAGTATGTGATATTTCGTCAGGCATATTTTTCAAGCTTGCTCAGTGTGGATATACACTTAGAGTGACATCACAAACATCATATATTCACCTGAGTACATAACACCAACACAGAAAATTCAATATCATATAACAATAATAATACTTGAATGAATCATTGGACATGTAGATGTAGAATTTAATTAGCCTCCTCTGCAAGCATCACCTTTAAATTATCGGGCAGAATTTCTTGCAGGCAAAAAACCCAAGATGCCTGCGGAGTTCATGTGGCTACTATATAACTCTTGACGTGTTCATGTGGCTACTAACTGAAGGGCCTTCGCTCGAAACGTTGAGTTTCTGCTTGTTCTTTTCAGGTAGTAATATAACCACTCAGCACAGCAAGTCAGTCACATTGGTACCACCCACACTGGTGCAGACAGTTTTAGTATGTTCACAGAACAACTGAACAATCTGCTGATGGGGAGACAAAATCTATTTGTTGACATTTCTGTTTAATATGTCAGCTTCAGATGATGACACCGTTCATTGTATAAATGACTAAGATTGTACTCAGTCATAACAGCAAAACTATATAATAAGAAAGAAATTGTGAGTATTATCAAAAAATATTGAATACCCTGAACACATCACACATGCAGCCAGGTAAATATGTGAATGTAGGTTGGTAGCCGGTATAGGATACTATTTCATATTATGCTAACAAATATTAATGAACATATCTGAGAGAATATATTTTTACAGACCGCCACATACCTTGTACAAAAGGCGGTTGACATGTTACATTACATGTAACTGTTACATTACATGTAACTGCTGGTATTAAAGTTATTATTAGCTAATATTTGCACACAACAATCCACACTGGTCACTGGATTAACTACATGTGTTGCTATATTAAAGAATATGAAATATCTTAAAGATATTAAGTAGTTATAAATCCAGTGACCAGTGTGGATTGTTGTGTGCAAAATATTAGCTAACTTTAATACCAGCAGTTACATGTAATATAACATGTCAACCGCCTTTTGTACAAGGTATCTTTACATTTATTAAAAGCATACACAACATTCCGCGTTTGTTTTTAAAACGTGGTGAAAGCACATAATTTGCTATATCTATGTACATCTAGAATGAACACTATAAACTTTAAAACTCATCGCCATGCACACAAACAAACAAACCAATGATGAATAAATATTGATTATTGTTTCAAATACCTCATATCGAACACTTTTAACAGCAGATCTAAATATAAATGCCTTCATGTAATATCACCAGAAAGAAATAAAGCTACATTCTTACCTGAATTATTCAAAATATTGTCGATTTGTGAAAATCCAACATGCCAGTGTATCATGCGAGCGCAATACAAAATAAATTTTGACCGCCCCCCTCGTTTAAAAAAATTTCCTGAAGCCTTAATTATTTCCCCGGAATTACGACATCTTTACAAACAGACAGACACAAATTCTCAAATCGAAATCCATCCTCGTTCCCAGGGCTTCTCGGCTGCCTGCGTTGCCGTAAGCCCTGGGACAAGCCGAAGCAGAAGTGATT